CCACTCATTGCCATGTGGAGGACATGGGGGAGTTGATATGACGGTAGCAAAGATTTCCCAATCTCTCCTATGGTGGCTAAAAATGCATAAGGATGCTCACAAGTTTGTTTCAAGATGCGATAAGTGCCAAAGAAGTGGTGGCATAACCAAAAGAGATGAAATGCCTCAACAAAACATTTTGGAAGTTGAGCCTTTTGATGTTTGGGGTGTCGACTTTATGGGGCCTTTTGTCTCATCATGTGGGAATTTATACATCTTGGTAGCGGTTGACTATGTGACTAAGTGGATTGAAGCCATACCTTCCCCTACAAATGAACATAAGGTTGTGCTTAAGATTCTCAAGAAAATCATCTTTCCACGGTTTGGGGTTCCTAGGGTGCTAATTAGTGATGGAGGTTCCCACTTCGCCAAGAAGCAACTCGAAACTCTTCTCAAGAGGTATGGAGTTCATCACAAAGTTGGTCTACCTTATCATCCTCAAACTTAAGGGCAAGTGGAGGTCTCAAATATAGAGATCAAGAACCTTCTTGAAAGGATGGTGAACAAATCTAGGAAGGATTGGTCCCTCAAGCTTGACGACGCACTTTGGGCCTTGCGGACGGCGTACAAGACTTTAATTGGTACAACCCCCTATCGGTTGGTCTACGGGAAGGCTTGTTATTTGCTGGTTGAGTTGGTTGAGTTGGAGTATAACGCTTGGTGGGCCATCAAGGAACTTAACATGGATATGTCATTGGCCGGTGAGAAGAAATTGCTCAAGCTCAACAAATTTGAGGAGCTTAGATATGATGCCTATGAAAACTCAAGGTTATACAAGGAGAAGACCAAAAAATGGCACGACCAACATATAAGGAACAAGAGCTTTAAGGTTGGAGACAAGGTATTGTTATTCAACTCTAGGCTTCGTTTGTTTCCCGGAAAGCTCAAATCCAAATGGCCGGGGCCTTTCGTAATTTCAAAAACTACTCCTTATGGGTCTTTTGAGTTAGAGGTGGGTGACAACAAGTTCATGGTTAATGGTCATCGTTTGAAGCACAACTTTTGCAAGGATGAAGTTGGTTTGATTGAATGCATGAGGCTTGATCCAATGGATCCTAAGCCACCCTTCGGATGATAATTTCTCATCGTCAAGCTAGTGACCTCGTAAAGAAGCACTTCTCGGGAGGCAACCCGAGTTCTCAACTCTTTTGTTTCTTTATTTCCTTTATTTGGTCGATTTTGGTTAATCTCTCTTTTAGTTCTTATATTATGGTCTTTGCCTTTCTTTTGTAGGTACTTGAACCTTTGGGCATTGATTTTATGGATTAGGGAATGAAGGTGTTAAGGGTGAGTTATGAGTTATGAAAGAAGATTAAAATCGGAATTTGGGTCTCAAGTCTTAAGGTACTCCATAACTTTTTAGAGAGGGCTTTGAGATGGCCAGAAGATGGTGCTCCAGCAAGACCCGCGGGTGCGGACAGGGAATCAAGTCCCCTACATTATTTTCTGAAGATGCCTCGCTGCACCCCAGGAGAGGGCACGGATCTACGTGCCGCGGGCGCGGCGGTTAGACCCACAGGTGTGGACTGGAAGACCCGCGGGCGCGATGAATGGTGCCGTGGGGCGGCCTTCTGCTCTTCATAAATTAATCAGATTCGAGAGATGCCTTGGAGATGCCTGGGAGAGGGCGCGGCCCTTAGAACCGCGGGCGCGGCGAACTGAGTCTGCGAATCCGGTTTGATTTCAACAGCAACTTCACCCCCCTTATTTCCCCTAATTTCGACATCCTCTTTCACTTCTCTCTTTAAAGCTTCATCCTCCCTTAAACCCTAACCTCCCAACCTCACAAACTCATCAAAATTCATCATAAAATCATCGAAAATCATCAAATTCCTACACACTCTCTCGAATTTCCTCATCAAATCTCCGAAAATTTACCGTTCAAGATTCGGTATCTCATGGTTTCTCCATTGCAATATTCTTAAAGGTTGCTTGGATTTCTTCTTCTCAAGGCTAGTTGGAGTGGATTTTGGTCACTCATTGTTGGTATATTTCACTCCTTCTCTAGTTTTAATTGAAACTTGAGTAATTTTTTTTTTTGGTGAGAAAAAATGTTGTTCTTGTGAATTTGTTTGAGGATTTTTGATGTATGCATGCCAATTCGTGTTAAAGTATCTTCTTAAGCTTGGTTGATTGTTGATTATTTGTTGATCTTGTTGATTGTTGGTGGGTAGTATTGATTGATTGGTGTTGTTGGGTGAATTTTAAAGTGTATAATTGTGAAGGCTTGTTGAACTAGTGGGATTGTTCTTGTGATTTAAGTTGTGATTGATTAAACTTGGCTGATTATCGAAATGGTGTTCGGTTCAAAAAAGAGAAAGAGTGAGAGTGAACCCCAAGGTTCTACCTCCCAAAACCCCTAAGCCGATGAACAACCACCACCACCATCTTTGCCACCTCACAAATTTCACAACAAAAACCACAAAACCATCTATGACAACTTGCAAAATCGGAAATTTAGACCCACCAAAAACTACCACCAACCTTCAACAACCAAAATTGGCATCGATGACGATTGTTGGTTCTTATTCAACAATCTAAGGTTGGGCTCTTTTGTGGAAAACACATACCGAACATACAAAGAACCAACTCTTGAGTTCCTAGCCTCTTTCGAATGCCACGCCGCAGGAGAAAAGGACCTCACCATCTCTTTCCAGCTCTTCAATAAAAAAGAAACAGTAAACCTTCGCCAATTCAACCAACTCCTAGACCTTAACCCTGACACTGACATGTTCTTTCCTGAGCTCAAAGTTCTTCGTGATTATAACCCCCTCGAGTGGTGGAAATGCATCTCGAGAATGGATTCCTTCAATGCCAAATATTCATTGGCTAGTCAAATCATGCACCCAGCTATCAGACTTCTTCATAGGATTCTTGGGTACATGGTTTTCAACAAACAAGACTTGGGAAAGATTAATGCGGAAGAAATCCGGATCTTGTTGCTTGCTACAAAGGCAGATTTGGGGCGTAGAGTGAATTTGGGTTTTCTTTTCACCAAGTGTATTGAAGGAATTCTTTCAGGAGCAAAGAAGGGGGAAATCCATTGTGGCGGGATGGTCACAAGGTTAGCGGAAAAGTTGGGGCATAAGGATAAGCTGCGTTCTTACACCCCCATTGGGAAGAGTGATGGAAGTGACATTTGGCTTGATATTGACCAATTAAAAACTATGAAGTTTATTGGGGACACGGAGGATATAGGAAGGACGTGGAGCTTGCTTGTCTCCCATGAGCATCATTGTCTCCTCCCCAAGCCAGAGTTCACTTGGAGGGAGTTAATCACCCATGGTGGGTGAGAATGGATTTGGGTGTCCTCCCGGTTGCAAGAATGGGGATTGGCAAAGGTCATGAATGTGGTGATGATAATGAGGAGGATGAAGATGAGGTGGAGGTGATCCCTCCGATTTAACAACAACAACAACAACATCAACAAAGAAGAAGAAGACAACAACAACAACAACAACAACAACAACAACAACAACAACAACAACAAAACCAACAACAACTTGACTACCAATAAGAGATGGCGGCGATGCGGGCTCAAATGGAGAGCATGCAACTTAGCATGCAAGGTATGGTCGCCTCCCAACAACACCATTTCTTTCAAACTAATTCCCTTTATGATGCTAGTGTGCGTAGAGGGGATGTCACTCCTCCGGTTAACTATCCATATGTGTCGGCTCAACAAGGGCCCGTGCCATCTTGGAGGGGTGACAACCAACCTACGTACCCCTATTGACCGGTTCCCTCGAACCCTAATGTGCCAAGGCCCGAGTTTCATGATGATTCTAGTCATTATGACTACCGGGTTTCGGGTGAGAGTGATTATAGGGGTGACCCTAACTACCCCTACGTTGATCCCTCTCACCCTTCACCTCTAGTGCAACCCGAGCCATTTGACCAACTATCCGCATCCCAACTAGACCTTTTCAAGGGTCATTATGGGTGGCCTCTCGGTTACACCGAAGGTTGCGAACCCTATGGCCCCCCTTTGGGCTTTTCATACGATAGTTGGAATGAGTATGATGGTGGTGCTGGCCCTAGCGGCCAATAGTTTCCCCCTCGGTTTGTTTGTTTTTCCCTCCCTTTTTGGTCCATCCCTTTCATTTCATTTGCATGTGAAGCATCGGGGACGATGCTCTTATCTAGTGTGGGGGGGGGGGCGTTTGAATCAAAAGGGTATATTTTGGGTAAGTGTGGGGGAAGGCACCAAAGACTCATGGGTACAATAAAGGGATTTTTTTGATTTGGTTCTTATTGCATGGTGTTGTTGATAAGCATTTGTTAGCCCTGTTTTCGTCTGTTGTTGGTGATGTCTGGATTCATGATGAGGATTTGAGAATGAGTTGAGTTTGGGTAGTTGGTTATGCCCAAGGTTCGAGTTGGTAGATTTTTCTTTCTTTTTCTTTCTAACCTTTCTGTTTGCATAGTATTTGCTTTTGCTTTTTTTTTTTCTTTCTTTTGTAGCTTTGAAGAAAATTGGAAGCAACATATGGAGCCATGGTAAATCGTAAGGTTGCTTTATTTATCCTCAAGAGACATATGGGTGAGATTTTTCCTTTACTTTTTTTCTCTCTTTCCTTTGGTTTGCTTAGTTTAGGTTAGCATAGGAAGAAGTTGAATGCACTAGGCAAAAAATACAAATGGGCACCGGTTCAATACCCCCATTTCACACCGGTTTTGAACCGGTCCTTATTTGAGGGATGCCAAAAATCAAAAGATTTTGCACCGGTTCACAGCAAGAACCGGTACGAAAAATGGCCCAAAAAAATTAAAAAAAAAAACTTTTAGCACCGGTGAGCCAATGCGAAAAATGGCCCAAAAAAATAATAAAATAAACTTTTAGCAGCGATTCTGTTTTAAAACCGGTGCCAAAAGTGCCCCAAAAAAATTAAATTTTTTTTTTTTTTAGATTTTTTTCACTTAAATTGATATAGAAACACTAACATATATATAAAGTTACATATTCTCATTAAAAAAAGGTTGTATTATTACAATTTTCGTCCAAAAAAATAAAATACAAAACTAACAACAACTGCATATGCAATGAAACTTAGGCATAACAAATCATGGAATGACCCCAAATTGTGTAAGATCCAGCTGAATCTCGGCATGGTGAACAAACAGCAACAAACACCTACAAGATAAATTCAAAACATTAATTCTCATTATCGTCCTTTTATATTGATTACACAAGACTAGGCGGGGGTTGAAGAGATAGTAGTGCTACCTGATTATCTGAAAAGGTGTACATGTCAAAGAACCCAAAATCACAGATTTAGGAGATAGATTGACATGTCCAAATATTTCAATCATAAGACGATCAATGACTGTCTAGTTCTCGTTCCTGCAGCTGCAGAAATATAATAATTCTTCTCCCACATCTCCATTATCCAATCCTTTGAATGGGGTAAAAACAGATCCATCAGCAACACAGAAGTCGCAAAAATATTAAAGAGTAGCTAGAAGATACCAATATAGGTTAATGCGAGCATATCTCCTATGGCAGATTCAGATAAATTACTTTAATAACTATGCAGATACCCTACAAGGTAAATACCAAAATGAAATGCATTCAAATAGGATCAATAACTTAGTAAAAGGTATATAGCATGATGCAGGAATATGAATACATGGAGATATGTTCTTGCACCATGAAGTATCAATGTATTCATAGTAGAAATTTGTCCACAATCAAGGTTCATATACAGGATGTAATAAAGCACCACTATATTATACAATGTAATGTCAGACCCAATTTTATACATCCTTTCAATGATATAGCAACACCAATTCAGTTATAGATCCTTCCAACTAGCATTCTAGTAGGTCCTTTTAAAGATCAGTACAGGCAATAATTATGCACGTACCTTGTTGAAGAAATATGGAGAGCGCGAATAAACTTGAGCGCTAAATCCACTACCAGAATCCATGCTAAGGGCCCACAGATTATCACTTGATGCCAAACTAGTGATAAACATACCATCATTATGTCCTTTCTCAATATGTGAGTCGACCCTCACATCTGCAACATTATAGTGATACCTACAATATAATATGACAATGAAAAGCTCACCCTTTAAAAAGACACATAAATAAACATGCACAAGAGAAGGGACAAACAAAAATTATGAGAGTGTATGTGTCCAAGTTAGCATGTGTGCACGAATTAGATTCATATTGTATACAAATATGACAAAACATTCAAATAGCTACAGAAAATTACAGTAGTCACAGAAAACAAAATGCTCTGGTACATGAAATAAATAAGGTCCAATGAAGACAAATGAAATATCAAACTTCTAAGATAACATCTGATTCCATGTAAACAAACTGATAGTGTCAATTCAATGACTGAGGCAAGAAAAGCAATAATAGCATATGATTTCAACATTCTTCAAATGAAAAGAATACACATGGAAAGTGCTACACCATACCTTTGCTTCAGAGGGCGTCGAGCATCATAAACACTGATCCACTACACTGCAAGCACCCCTAACCGAACTTTCTTTTTGACCTGTTCATCTTCATCTTTATCCTCATCCTCATTGTCAATAGTAAGCCGACCTATTTTTTGACCAGCCTGACACTGAAAAACCACAAAATAAAAATTACAATATAACTTAAACAATGTGATCACGCCGTTGGATGACAAACTCAAAGCCAAGGGTAAAAAAAGATACATTTTTTGCACCATCAATATTTATTGGCCTCGCATCAGGATTTGAATCAACAATCTTGTCAAAGAGAGATATATTTTGTATAATTGGGGTCCTCATCAAACTTCAAATTCACTACATGCTCAAGAAATTCTTGGAATGGCTTTGGACATGAAGAACAAATCCCATCTAGAGATGTTGCCATTTTCTTCTTGCAGACAAGAAACCCCTTATTGTCTCCCTGAGATGAAATTAACTGATTAAGAACTGCCTAGGAATAACTAAATATATCATATTCCTCTGACAATCCAGACCTGAAAACCTTGCCATGGGAGAAAATCGCGGATGAGGAAAATGAGGGTATAAGCAAGAGATTCTAGATCATCTATTCTGCTGCTAGTTCTCCTTAAATGAGCATGGACACTAGCATATCAGACAGTTCCCCTGTAAGAATTTAAACAGGACAATGAAATTGCAGAGAGTGGAAAATGAGTGAGCTTTTAACTTGGATACAGATATTACATATAGAAAAGCTTTTTCAAGGTCAAATATCAAACACATTTTCTAAGGCGGAACTTTGATCTGTTAGCTAAGTACTTGCCTTTCTTTTGTTTCTAGTTCCCAGAGCATTTTTCCAGTGCTCATGTTGAATGCACCAGGATAAATAATCAAGTCAGCACCTGGCATTGCATACATAGTAGCTCATTTTGGGATTATGTATATTTCAAGCTCAGTAGTGCCACAATCAAAACGAGATATAATATAAGAACCTTTTGCTCTATACATCATAGCAAGCTCTGGGAAGCGAATGTCATGACAGATACAGATCCCAATGCGGCCTACATCTGCAAACATATATACAATACATGTTGTTCAGCTTAAAATGCACCAGAATCATGAGTCTTGAAGAAGTATATGTGCTTTTCTTTGACACAATCTGAATATTTAGCAGTATGTGTTAAAGGAATTTCATGGATACAACCAATCATTAAACATAAGTTACTTGCTGGGCTAACTCAGACAACATTGATGACAAACACCGTAAATTAATCACCCCCTAAATAACGAAGTGAAATGTATACAGAATATATCAGTAGCAACACATGGAATCCTACAAGAATATGCATTTGTTGTTTGAGAGGGTAAACAATTAACATACAGAACAGATAATACTACTACAATGTTACTGTAAATTTTGGATATATACTGGAAATTCTGTTCAATGTCATGAGTTATATCTAAGCCTTCATTCAAGTAACGTAGCTAATCAACACTGCAATACCTGTGTCCACAATTGTAGGTGTGTCTCCAGCAGTGAATGAATCTGGTTCCTTAAATGAAGCTCCAGATTTGTAATAATCAAACAAGTGCAACTAGGTGCTCGTGAAGACAGTCCATATGATGCAAAAATCTGAGTATGACCAGAAAATTATGTCTGTACAAAGAGGTTTAAGAGGCACAATCACACAGAATTCAATAGAAAATAGGTGCTCATGAAATCACTAAAGATAGTCCATATGATGCAAAGAAACATATCACTCAAACCATTCTTTCAGAAGGTTTATTTTTTATCAACACATAATGTTCAAGTGATTTCCTCAACAACACATCTTTGACAAGAATATGTTGGAGCTAAACACACTTAACAACAATGGATCAAATGAATCCCTTCATTACATGGAAATCAAAACCACATATGAAAACCCAAAAAAAAGGGGACTCATTTTCACAACAAGGGGACTAAAATCACCCAGGGCCAGGGGATTGAAATCAAATTTTTTTTTTTTTTCACCCAAATATTCTCTCAAATAGGTCATTGAGAACAAATCATAGACAATCAACACAAATTCTCATCATTCATTAATCACATTTCCTAGCTTACCACACAACAGCAGGGTCTCATCAGTTACCAAGCACAGAACTAGAACAACCATGACAACAACAACACCAACAACAATCAACCCCTAGAATACCAGCAACAATCAACAACAAAACCACCAACAATCAGATCAACAATGAGATCAACAACAGATTAATGAACTCAAACAACCATCACAAACCAAAGGAACTCAAGAGGCAACACCATCACCAAAACTCATTGAAATCAACACTTTCAACAATAAACTAATTCAAGCAACACCTATACAGGGACTCAAACAAAACCCATAGATGAAATGAAAAAAAAGGTAGGGTTAAAGATCGTTACTGAAGCTTTCATTTAGTTGGGGAACCAACTCCCAACTCATCTTCTGAGTCCTCAACAGGGCCTCCTCCATCTACTTCTGCAAAGTCTCCACCTTGAGCCTCAAGACCAACCATAGGCGGCCTCAACACTAGCACCTTGTGGAGGATTAACCCCCCCACATTAGGTGTAACAGGGGACTCATCATCAGAGATCTCAATAACCTTAGATATCTTGACACCACGAATTCTGCTACGAGCAACCAGCGCAACGGCATTTCGAACAATGTTACATCAATTAAACCCAAAATTTCAAAGCATTTAACATGAATAATTGGACCAAAAGACCAAAATATAACGCAAAGCTAAATAACCCAGAAACCCTAACCTCGAATTTCTGATTTTTGGTTCGAAATTGATTCGAATTTGTTATTGTTGAAGATGCACGCACATCGAATTGATTCAAAATAGACGCACCCAGAAACCCTAACCTCCAATATTGTAGATTCAAGAAATAGACGACGGCGGCGATGATGGTTGTCCTTGGTTCGAATTGACGCCGGTTTTCGAAGGAGGGTAGCAGGCCGTTTAAGGCCGATTTCTTCAGTAGATTAGGGTTTGTTTGAGAGAAGAGAGAGATAAGAAGGAAGAGGGGAAACAGAAAGAACGAAGAGGGGAAATAGAAAGAAGGAAAAATTGACGGAGAATTTCGAGTACGCTTCAATGGAGGAAAGAGAGAGGCAGATGAGAGAGGAGGAAAGATCGAGGATGAAAGAGAAAAAAAGAGTATGACCCGTTTTTTTTTATTTAACAATAGCTTTCGCACCGGTTCGAACCGAACCGGTGCGATTAATTCATTTCTCGCACCAGTTTGGTTAGAACTGGTGCGATTAACTAATTTTTTGCACCGGTTTGGTTAGAATCGGTGCGAAAATACGTTACCTCAATCCCGCCTATTTTTTTTCACACAAAAACCGGTGCGCATTTGGCGGTGCTCATTTAAGTTTTTCTACTAGTGATGGTTTGAGGTTGTTTGTATTTGGTTCTAAGGAACCTGGGATCGTTGATATTGATATTGAACTATCATTGTATGACGATTGGGATTTAATTGGATTTATATGCCTCGTTTGCGAACATTTTTTATTTCTTCCTCCTTCTTTTGTTTTGTTTTCCTTTTTGTGTGACAAACATGATTATGGCAAGATGATATGAATGTGTTTTGGAATTTGCTCGTACATTTGGACTCTATTTATTTGATGATGCGCCTTAGAATGCTTGTTTTTTCTTAACTTGATGATGGGATGCACGGTTTGAGAATGCCTTTGGTTGAATTAGACGAATCTTAGCTGAGGTAGCAAGGTCAAGAACTTTTGAAGACATTTGAACCCTTAGTTCATGGGAAGTGGTAAGATGGAGTTGCTCCCTATAGTGGATTTGAAGCCCTTTAGTTGGCATTTGCCTACCTTTTCATCCCTTATGAGGTTTATATTGTTTGAGCCTTCATCACTTTGTTGTGCGCCATTTTAGGATCCTCGACTGTGCATGTCTTAATCCTTGTGTTGATCTCTAGCTCCCGAGATCGCGACCTAGCACCTTTAGAGGAGGAAAAGGGCACCTTTTCTCATTTTCATTTATATTTCCTTTTGTTTAGTTACAAATTTAATTTTCTATTTTGCATCAACCTACTTGCTAACCAATTTGAGCCTAATGTTTACCTTTCTTATCTTAACCGCATTACAAACCTAATGACCTATGTTTTACCAACCCTTTTAGTTAGTGAGGCATTTGGCATGCGAGGTTAATGTTTTGAGCGTATTGGATATGAACAAGAAATGTTTTGAGATTTGGTTTAAGAAAAGAGTTGAAAGTTGAGCTTGAATATGAATATGCAAGAAAAGTTTGAAAAGAAAGATGCAATTCAAGAAGATCAAATGAAGTTTCAAAAAAAAAAAAAAAAAAAAATATGAGAGCTTTGAAGTTCTTTTCCCTTGAATAAGGGGTGGTAATGCAAAGAAATCTAAATGATGGTTGTTTGTTTGAGATTTGGTCGTTTTCTTAAGTTTTGTTTTTGAGAGTAGGCCATTTTCTTGCTTCACTTAGGATTAGCCACCACTTTTTCAAATGATTTCCCTACCTTTACCTTTAGCCAAGTCATTACAACCCTAGTAAATACCCTTAGACTTTAGAGGGGCGTGGTCAAAGACCGATGGAGGGAGATGGATTTCAACCCTATGGAGAGAGCATGCATGGTTGAGATGTCGGGATGACCTTATACTTCCTCAAAATGAATATTTTCCGGTTCCTTCGTGGAATCACGAGGAGCCAACTAGGGGGATGATTTGAAGCTAGTGGGGAGAACGCGGACCGTTTTGGAAGGGACTAGGGCCGAGAATGAATCACTAGTTCTCTATGCTTAGCTTAGGCTTGACTTTTGCAACCATGAGCATCTTGGAGTTTGTTTTCATCATTTAATTGAGAAATGCTAATATTCTTGAACGTTTTTCTATCCTTTTGAGTCCGAATAGAGAATATGTCCACCCTAAAACTTGATGTGCTTTTCTAAGCCTTGCCATGTTGTGTTTGTCTTTGTAGTGTTTGCTTTGTCTTTCTTTTCTTAGTTTTTCTTAAGGACAAGCAAGAGGCAAGTGTGGGGGATTTTAATGAGTGGCGTTTACGCCACTATTTCACCCTTTTTTCACTAATGAATTTCCTTCATTTGTCACTTGTTTGTGCCTTCTCTTACCGTTTTTACTTCTGTTTAGTTACTTTTGTTCTTTCTCGTGTTTTTCCTTTTCTTTTATCTTTTCTTTTTCTTTTTATCTTTTGTTTGTTTGTTTTGATAACTCTTGGCGCTCGTAGGCGGAATTTGAGTTGCTCAATGGAGTTGAATTTGCTATTAAGGCTTGGTCCAAGAAGAGGAGATGCCTAAAGGAGAGGGCGCACAACACACAGCAGGCCGCGGGCGCAGGTGCCAAAGCCGCAGGCGCGGGTTAAGGTTCTGAGCTTAGCGTCAGTTTCTGGAGATGGCTAGGAGAAGGCTTGGAGAGGGTGCGGCTCAGGCGGCCGCGGGCACGGCAGTCAAGGCTGCGGGCGCGGCGAGCTGGGTTTTCCCAACTTCGTACCCACAACGGAGAGGGCGCGACAACTTCCTGGAGAGGCCTCTCCTCCACTCGGTTCCCGTGTTGTACCAAAAGACTATAAATAGTCCTTGGATTGAAATTTCATGACATTCACTATTCTATTGCCATCTAGAACATTTTTGTAGAGAGAGAATATCAACATTTTAGAGAGAGAAAATAGTTTAATCTTCAAGTTTCCATTATTGTAATCAAGATCTTTTCAAGATTCCTTCAAGTTTTCATCTTTTCAATGCAATTAGTCCATGGTTACTTAATCCTTCAAGCTTAATAGTAGTAATCTCTTTACCCCTTATCTTTTGTTTGGTTTTATTAATCTTAATAGTGTTTATTTCCATAAATTAAAGTTCTTTTCTTTTACTTATTTCATTGCTTTTTCTTTGGTTTTGAATCATGTTTAGTTTTGTTAGGATTGAATTTATGTTTAGAGTAGTTGGTATGACTATCTTATTTTCCCTAGCTTAAATTTCTAGCTAGGGAAAGGGGTGAAAAGCATGATTGATTGAGTTTATATTGATGATTGATTGGGTTTTGCCTTGAGTTGATGATTTTGTGCTTAAAATGCTTGGAGCTACTGTTATGCACCTTTAGCCCCAATATATGAGTTCTAGATTAGATGCATGAGAATGATCTAGTTTAGGTTTGATCGATTTTCATCGACTTGCTTTGAGTGATTGCATGAGAATGAATTATTTTGAGTAGAGTTTGTACTCCTTGGCATAAATCCATGATGATTATCATAGTTATCTTAGTTGATCATGATTGGAGCCCCCTCTCCCTAGTGTTTTTGATCATATTTCCCTTAAAATCTTATTTTTCATCTTTATTTTAGTGATTCTAGTTCAACTCCTTATTTTGCTTATTTTAATCCTTTTTTGGTAGATAGTTTAATCTTAGATATTCACAAAAACAAACCAAAATACCACTTGTTACTTTCAATAGATTCTTAATTCCACTTTGATTGTGCAATACCCCGTTTCCTTGTGGTTCGACCCTAGCTTGCCACTATCTAGTGTAAACTTGATAGAGTTAGGTTAGGAATATAAATTGTTGATTTGATTTAGGATAGTAGAAACGACCTATTGTCCGCCGATCAAGGGTCAAAAGAGGAGCAATAGAGTGCTAAGAGATAAAGGAGCCTTGAGAGAGAAAAAGAGATAGGGGGGGGGGGGCTAGGAGAGAAAAGAGAGGAGGAGGCCAAAAGAAAGAGAAAGATGAAGAAAATTGGGGAAGATATGAGGGTGGATTGGGGGGGGGGGAAGAGAGCAAGTGCAACCTATAATTTTCAAAGCTTTTTTAAAGATGGAACATGGACAAGAGGGATTAAGAAAGAAAGAAAGAAAGAGAGTGAGAGAAAAAGTTTCAGCCAATAATAGAAGGAATGAGTAAGAAGGGAGAAAATGCAGCCTATAATTTTCAATGCCATTAAAAAATAAAACATTTAAAAAGAGGGAACAAAGAGACAAGGCCAAGGGAAGAGAAATAGAGAGAGGGAGATAGAGAGTATAGTGTTACTTCATTCCAAAACAACTTAACTCATCTTGCTCTTTCTTGATTCTTTTCTTTTCTTCCTCAGTAAGAGCTTCTTTTAACTGCTCTTCCTTGATTCTTTTCTTTTCTTCCTCTATGATAGCTTCTTGTAATCTCTTACTATTACTTACAAATTCCCCATAGAAATTTTTTTACTATTTGTTATTACTTTATTCATGTATCCTTACTCTTACAAAACCCGAACACAACCACGAATATAACAAAATCCGAACACTACCACAAAATTTACATATCTTATTGTCCGGGGGGCACGCGCGTAATGCATGCTCAAACGACTAGTCATTTACAAAAACATGGAAATATATACATTACAATAATCCCAAATAGACCACTACAATAATTGTCCCAAATACAAAAGAGTTTGTATTGTCCTCTTTGTATGTCTATCATTTGTAAGGTGGAACACGGTGCTCATCAACAACTTAGTTTCCATTGCTTTTTGCAAACTTTGTCAAAAATTGAACAAGAACCTTGAGTCTTTATCCAAAACTATGTCTTTTGACACTCTATGGTACTTTACTACAAATTTCACATACTCTCTTTCCCTATTGATCCATTGACCATGTACTCCTCATCATAGGCGGATGTATTAAGGAGCATGGTGGGTCACATGACCCACCATAATTTATTTTTCTAAAACAAAAATTGAAGTTAAATTTTTTTTAGTGAAAAAACATGATGTTATCTAAAATTAATTTTATTAATAAGCATATAATTTATTAATATCGATAAACATATAGTTTAATTGTAAATTACATTGTCTGATCTAATAAATTTTTTTTGCACATGTATTTCTTCAATTCCTTATTATTTTTTTATCGTGTACCGTGTATTATTACAAATTTCCATATGTGGCTGGTCACATCGTGTGCCCGGGGTTACTTATTTAGGGGTAACCCCTGACCGATTGAATAAGCCCTGACTGAATAAGTTTTAATTGAACGACCAAGTAACTCCTGACCGACCGAGTAACCCTGACCCGAGCAACCCCTAAAATAAGTAACCCCTAAATAATTAACCTTTGAATGATCGAGTAACATTAACTCCTAAATAAGTTACCCCGGTCACACTGTTTGACTACTGACTAGCCACACAGAAAACGCGCTAGTGTTTTATTAGGTGTTACCCTTTATTTATTTATTCCTTTCATAAATAATCGTATATAATAATTTCA